AGCAATTAACCACTAAGAAGAATATATGCAGTGTATTATTTGTTGAAACTGTACTTCCGATTTGATTTGAAACTGTCTCATTGCTGTTTATCAATAAAACTTTGAAAAAAAAAAACAACTTAAGGCAATAAATTTTCTTCTACATACAGCTTTGACTAAAACCTTCAAGGTTTTTTTGTGTAATATTGTAAAGGTCATTACTTGCTAAATATTCTGCAACTATAGCTTTAATTCTTCCTTCGGACCTAAAATTACTTATGAAAGTATTGAGATTTTTATTTATAAATGGGTTTTCAAAAATATTCTTTTTCTCTTAATTTCTAGTTTTATTGTCAACTTGTAAGTGAATATATCTAGTAGTATGTTTGCTTTTAAAAATGTATTTGTCTTTATTTCATGGTTCAAACATTCTTAAATCTATTTAGTACCAAGAATTACTTCAAGATTTTTAAAAATAGAAATTTCAAATAAAAACCCCATTTTAAAAAGGAGCAAAGCTAATAGACAGTGCACAACAAATAAATGCAGGGGCTCCTTATTTAGTGGTACAAGAAAAAAATGTATACAAACAGTGTATAGACTCTATTTGGCAACTCAAGGCACACATTAGGCTAGTGATCTGGTTGTTATATATTTGAGACATCAATGAAATACTCCCGAAGTCTGTGGCAAACGAGGGAAGAAGGTGGGATGGTAGTCATTGCCAACAAGTGAATTTCACCTCTGGATAAGTTCTTTCTTTTTGGTAGAGCTGCTAGGCCATGGAGCCTATTTCTTATGCCTGGTTGCCAGTTTGGCCTGCCAACCATTCCAAGTATATGAGGTGACTGTCCAGTTTCCTACTAGTGGACAGCCTCCCTCTGCCACCCTACTACTGGCTTTCCACAACAGAGAGCCACAATTAAACTTACCTTTGGCCTCCCCAAGTTACTGCTTTCAAATGCTTTTGACTCAATACAACAAAAGCAGTTCAATATGGAAAGATCTCTGAGGGGCTCCCCGACACTCTTAAAGAGTATGGGATCCTTCCAAAATCTTCTATTTCATATTTCCATATTGCTTTGCTTTCTAAGGAGGGGAAGCTGAAGTTCAGCACCTGCAGTTTGGTCCTACTATTCCATAGATTCTAATTTTAAAAAAACTACCAAAGTGGGCATTGCTTTCAATCTTGATGCAACATTTTAGTAGAATACAGCTTTAGACAGCTTTAGGGAAGGAGGCTCAGATCCTTGAGTTCAGTTGTGACTTACTCAGAGATCCCAGGCTATCCTGGTTTCTTAAATTAATTTTATATTAATCCTTCATAGAATTGCCTCTAGCTATTTACTTGACTCTTCCACGCCTTGCACATACTGTCTACCCAGGTGAGCCCCTGCAAAAGACAACCACTTCCTTTCTGAATAAGAAGCAAACTGCAGAGGGATGTGGCTGAGGACTTCCTCAAACCACGCTCTCCTGCCCCACTGCTCCCAAAGCAAGGTCACATATTCTTATTCCTTCCCCTGTTTGTTTATTTCAACAAGTATGGATTGAGAACTTCACAGGTTGACAATAGACTTCTAAACACCATCCAGCCCTTGGCTTTTCTGCCTTCGTGTCCCCAAGACCCCTCAATAGGGACAAGAACAGATTCCTTTAGGATCCCATAGCATCCTGATCAGAAGACTAATAATGTTCGTGACACATATTAAAATTCTGTTTTGGTGGGATGGGAATATAGCTCAGAGGCATAAGTGTCTACCTGGCAAGTGCAAGGTCCCAAGTTCGATCCCCAATATAGCAAAATAAATTTAATTAATTAATTAATTGATTTAAAAAACTGTAAGATCCTGTTTTGGGGTCAGGGATATAGCTTAGCCTGGCAAATGCAAGGTCCTGAGTTCGATTTCTGGTACCAAAAATAGAATAAAATTAAGTTAAATTAAATTCTGGTGGGTTTTTCCCCCCTGTTGCTAAATATAAGCCTGTAGGGAACAGGAACTAGGCCTTAAGCATGTTAGCTGAACCAAATAAAAATCAGTATCAATTCCTGACCTTGAATAGTTCATACTCAAGTGAAATGTCCTGGCTTCTGCTACAAATGAGGGCTCCTGTCACACTCCAGCTTCAGGAACCCAGCATACACAATGAACTCTATGGGGTCCGCCTTGCAATGGTGGTCACCACAGAAAGTATTATGGTCAGCCCTCTCCGAGACATGGACATGTTGTCTCAGCTTGAGCCATCTCTATTCTATTTAGGATCCCATAATGACTGTGACTTCCCATCACAGTCTCTCATAATAAAAAGAGGCAGGTAGGTGTCTGTTCTAGGTGACCTTTGAGAAAATTACACCTGGGTCTCCGTGCCTGGCAACTTTATCTGCAGCTCCAGCATTCCAGCAAGTTGGTCCCTCCAACTCAACCAGACTAGACCAGTATTTCCCTCCCCAGGGAGCCCCACCTGGAAAAGGTGTGACCTGGACCAGTACAACAGCCCACCTGAGAATGATCCGAAGGTACTCAATCCCCTCCGCTTCCTCGCACTTGATGGACAGGATCAGGTTCCCCAGGCTGCTGCCAGTACAGTAAAAGTTTAGATGATCCTAGAAATAGAAAATCAGGTATGAATGGAGCCTCCAGGAATGTCCCCCAAAACCACTGCATCACCAAGAAGGAGGAGCCCCATGGAAATGAGGGAGCACAGAATGCTGCTGCTGCTGCCACAGCCATTTCATGATATTCATGACCACAACCATGACATTAATAGACACCTCAGGATATGCCAGATGCTGTGCTGTGTGCTTAATAACCATTATCCTATCTAATGCTAGCCAAGACCTTATGCAGGAGATGAGATGAGGTCATCACTCTATTCCACACAGAATGGGAAACCAATGGCCAAGTAAGTTAAGTCACCCCTCAGGGTCATACAACCAGTGAGTGACACATTGAGGATCATTGAGGATTCCAACCCACATCTGTCTCAACTCCTCACCAGCAGATATTGAGCTGACTTTCTCACTCCCAGGGAGCCCACTCAGCATCCTAGACTGTTTGGGAAAGAAAACTAGAAGGAACCCAGCACCTTCACTCAAGAGAAGCTCAGAGGTCCTCAGCAGCAGAGGTACTCTGTATGGCCCGGGGAGCACAGTTTACACACACAGAGGCCCCCTGAAGGGGTGTGGGACCCCAGGAATCTGTATACTGACGAGACTCCCAGTAGTTCAGTGGTTTGGGTTGCAGCCTCCTCCAAATGAGACTCTAAAAAGTCCAAATCTGACTGAAGGTAAACATTTTCAGAATCAACCTTCCCAACCTGGGGAGTCCCAGCAATTCTGAAGAAGAGATCAGGAGAGGCATCACTAAGACTACAGCAAATGTAGCTTTTTGTCATTTGTTTTACAATAGAACTCATACTGCCATTGATCCTTCTCAAAATTCCTCCTCTCCCCCTTGAATATACTTATCATTTTTCCACTTTCTGAAGCAGTTCTGAAAGTCTTCCTGTGAGTGTCTTTCGTTGTGCTCTCCTGGCCACCTCCATGACCTAAGTCCAATCAACGTGTTTGCCTTTCACAGGCATTTTGAGTGCAGGAAAGAACCAGAGCTGCATGTGCCGTATCTGGCAAATGCGATGGATGAGGACACATCATCAGTGTTTGCAAACCTGCCTTTCCATCGGATGGCACAAAACAGACGCATGCGCTATATTTTAGATCACACTTTGTAAACAGATTCACAATAAAGAACTTCCAGAACTGCTTTAGAAAGCTGTAAGGACAATGGAATTAGTGTGCTCAAAGCGAAGGGAAGTATTTCGAGGGAGATTAATGCCAATGTGAGCTAGGCATGGTGGCGCACACCTGTAATCCCAGCACTCCGGAGGCAGAGGCAGGAGAATCACTGGGAGTTTGAGGCCAGCCTGGGCTACACAGTGAGACCCTATGTTAAATTAAAAAAAAAAAAGGCAGTATATCTAACATTATTTTAGCATTCACTGTGCATTTTGATCACACCTTATATTTAAAGAAATAGAAATCTGTCACTTCGGAGTAGTCAGAGGCTCACAGCACGTCATCCAGTCCATGTACTACTCAGAAGATCTGTCTCAGCGCAGTCATGGAGATGGCTAGCTAGTATGCAGGTGGAAACAGAGGTTTCCAAGGCTCAAGGACATACTTTTCCTTAACAGTTACGAGTCCGCCCCGACACTTCCCTCCTGCCACCTTCCACAGCACCTTCTGGAGAGGTATGTCTTCACAAGGACCCTTCACAGGGGTTCTGTACTGTACCTGCCCAGCCCCAGGACACTGCCAATTAGATCTCTCCAAGAGAGGCAGCAGCAAGGAAGAGGACGGCCCTGAGAAGACGTGGCAGAAATAACAGAGGGGCGCCAGAGCCAAGACTCCTGCATCCCCAAGGGTGCTTCCTTCTTGGCAGTTCTTTTCTCCCAGGGGCCCCTCGGGCCTCACCTTCCCCAGGAAGTGTCTGCGGTAGGCTCTGGCCTCAGCCCTGCACTCGAGCTTATAGCCGAAGGTGTTGGGGTTGAGCCCGTCCTCTTCCTCATCCTCACAGATGCTGCTGCCCAGTGATGTTGGTGTGCCCACGTTCTCCGGGTCCTCGATCCAATAGCCACCAAACTGGGGCAGGATGATCAGAGGGTACGGGCCCCCCTTCTCCACAACCTGAAAGCAGAGTGAGAGTCTTACCATGCAGCTGCCCTGAGACCACAGGGGAAGCAGAGAGCACCAGTGGTGCCCCCGCCACATATACACACACACTGTTCAAGAGGAGCCTAGTATCTGAGGCCAAAAGCAGTATCACAATTTTCTAATGCGAACCCTATGGCATTTCCAGCTTCACTGGCTGACCCCAGGACCCGGGGTTGCAAGGCTGGATAGACACCCCCAATTTAAACATAGACAGTCTCAGGTCACAGAGGCAAAGATGGAAAGAGGCCTCAGTGCGAGTCCCAGGCCCAAGGTTTTCCTCCCTGGGGTTTGGGAAGAGCCATCTTCTCCCCAGAGAAGGGACTCAGATCGGGCTCCTCAGCAGGAGGGGTCCTACCTCATCAATGCTGGGATATGGAATATAGTCATCCTGCAAGACAAACCAGACAAAAACACCATTAGTTCTGAGAGCTCCCATAAAGCCAGATTTCTGTCTCCAAGTCCTTCCTTAGGGTCTAGGGAGGTGTTTGGAGACCTAAAAGGCTGTACCAAGACTACGGGGGAAGCACATGAGATGGAAGAACAGGGGGCAGCTCCACGCTCTGACATCTGAGATACACTGAGTCCTCTCCAAATTAATAGAACCTGACTGCAAACCCAAGGAGCTGGGGTGCAGCACACGAAGGTCCTGACCTTGCCTTCCCTGGTGAGACCAGCTTGTGCTCTACGGTGCTAAAACAGTAAGCTGTGGTCTCAGTCGGCAGCCCTCTATGGTAACTGAGCTAACCTTCAAGTGCTAAGCTCCACCCTCGGGCCCTGGAAATAGCACCTGGAGATGAACGCTGGAGTCTGGCTTCCCTGAGCACCGCAGGTGCAGGTACAGAACGGGGCGGGGCACAGTCAGTCAAGTCACCACCCCAGCGTCTCCCCAGACACCTCTACCCCAGTCTACTCTGAAGCTGCTTAAAGGCACTGAGCCAGGGCCCACTTTGCTGCCTACTGAGCACCAGTCAAAGGAGGGCACAGTCCATGTGCTGAAGTTAGGCAGACCCCAGGCAGGTGAGCCCAGCACGCTCACTGCTCCTCCACAAGCTCCTCCCACCCAGGCCCACCTGGCCACCTCCTCAGCCACCCAGCTAACCTTGTTCTTCTGGGGTCCTGGCCTCTGCTCTTCAAGCTTGATCCCCTGTGGAAACATGGAAAGAGGACCCATGGAAGCAAAGGTCTCTGCAAGGGTCCCAGTGGCGGGGTCCCTGGGCACCTGGCCCTTCCGCAGTTAGTGATAAGCATAGCATGATGGCTGCAGACACCAGGCCTTCACACTTTTCACACCTTGTGGCTTTCAGTCCTCACAGCTGCTCCAGGTGAGGCAGCAGGAAGCTAGGTGAAGAGCATGGACCAAGGTACTAACCCGAACTGTGTGCTGGAACCAACGGAAAAGGTTATCTCCTTTCTGAGTTTCCTAATCTTGTAGGAAATAATCTATGTACGAAAAAAGCACAAATAAGGAACCAAGAGATGAAAAGAGAGATTCCTGCTGGGTGTGGTACTACATGCCTGCAAACCCAGCACTTGGGAGGCTGAGGAAGGAGGATTGCTACAAGTTCAAGGCCAGCATGGGCTACATAGTGAGTTCAAGATTGGAGAGATCTTGTCTCAACAAAAACCGGAGACCTCCAGGAAAATGGTGCAGTGGAGAGCAATGATAACTCAGCTTCGCCAAGGTTCTGGATCCAGACACTGGAAAACGATAACTTGGAGAAGAAAAATAGTAAATTCCCAGGAATCAGGGAATTTCCCCCTGACAGGAAAAGTAAAACAGACAGAGAAACTAAAGAGAACGCACACAATGTGAAGAAGGAAAGGGACAACCTCATGTTCACCCCAGCTCCCAGTTCATGGCTCTGGCAGAAGGGAGACCAAATCTACAGAGACAAAGTGAAGGCCGGGGAGGACTCCAGAGGGCTTCAGGGAAAGATGTGGTGATAAAACACATAGGTGCGCGTTTTAAACCATAGGGAGAGCATGGACATTGCTCCTACATGAGCACTTCAACAGGCAACAGTTGAGGAGTGACTCCAGTCCAACCTCCCACTGTAGCCCTGGAGAGTGCTCGGCTGTAGCCACTCCAGGGAAGGCTTGATGGTCTGAAACCAGGACAGGGGCACCTTCAGTTCAGGGCTCCCAGTGTTATATTCTCAGTGACTGAAAGACAGGCACCGGAGACAGCCATGATCAGGGAGCAGTGGTCACAGAGGAGAACAAAACATCCCCTGAGGGGTTCTAGCTAGAGGGCAAGGCTTTGCACCCACAATGTGCAAGTCATGGCACTGGTGCCCTCACCCTAATCATGCAGTTTATGTAAATTAAAAAGAAATGAAGGGCCAGGGAGCTAGCTCAGTAGAATAAGTACTTGCCTGGCAACTGCAAGGTCCTGAGTTCAATCCCCAGTGCCGGGGGAAAAAAAAGAAAGAAAGAACTAAAATGATCCCATGCATATCATCAGATCATAGTACAATGAAGCTAGTAATCAAAAAAAGAAATTACAGAACAACTACACCAACACATTGAAATCAAATAATACCCTCTTGAATAATCAATGGAAATTAAGGAAGAAATTAGACAGTTCCTAAAATCAAAAGATAATGCCTATATGGCACACCACAATCTATAGGACACAATAAAAGCAGTCCTAAGAGAAAAGTTTATAGCAGTGAATTCCTGCATCAGAAAACAAAGCAAACTCAAATAACCTAATGTACTCCAAGGTCCTAGAAAAAAACCAAAAAATCCAAATCCAAAGCTAGCACAAGAAAGAAAATTATCAAGACCACAAATTAAGGAAAATGAGTCTAAAAAAGTACAGAGAACCAATGAATCAAACAATTGGTTGTTGGAAGAATAAACAAAATAGACAAACTTTTAGCAAAATAAAGAAAGAAAAGACCCAAATTCACGGAATTAGAAATGAAAAAAGCAAAATCATAATGGATTCTGCTGAAATCCAGAGGATCTCTGGTAACTACTCTGAGAACCTGTACTCTAACAATGAGTTGAAAAGGTAATTTTTAAAAACTACCAACTAAGAAAATCCCAGGTCTCAATGAATTCTACAAGAACTTTAGAGACAATCTAACACAGACACTTCTGAAACTCTTTAATGAAACTGAAAGGGAAATAGTACTCCCAAAGTAATTCCAGGAAGCAACCATCACCTTTGATTCCCAAACCAGGAAAATGTTAATCTCTTTAGTGAACTCTTTAATGAACAGAGATGAAAAACACCTCTGTAATAAACACTCTCATTAATGAACACTAGTATAAAAATCTTCAGTAAGATCCTGGCAAACAGAATTCAACAAATCATTACGAGGATCACACCCCATAACCAAATAGGGACCATTCCAAGGACACAGGGATGGTTCAACATATGCAAATCAATAAATGCAATATACCAGACAAACAGAAGCAAAGACAAAATTCAAACGATCATCTCAATAGATACAAAGAAAGCATCTGACAAAATCCAACATCCATTGAAGAAAAAAACTTGAAATTATATATAGAAGGTCTTCATCTCAATCTGGCAAAAGCCATCTGTATCAAACCAATGGCCAACATCATACTAAATGGAGAGAATCTAAAAAGCTTCCCCTCTACAATCAGAAACAAGACAAAAACATCCACTATCACCATTCTTTTTAGTATAGTTCTCAAAACATTAGCCAGAGCAATCAGGCAAGAGAGAAAAAAAAAGGGGGGGTGACATGCAGAAAAGCAAAGAAATTAAATTATCATTATTTGTAGACAACATGACCCTCTACACAGAAGACCCAAAAAAGGCCACCAAAAGACTCTTAGAATTAATAACTAAATTCAGCAATGTAGCAAGATATAAAATGAATATACACACAAATCAACAGTATTCTGTACATATATAACTCACTGAGAAAGAAGTTAGGAACTCAATATTATTCACAACAGCATCAAGGAAAGGTAAATATTTAGGAATTCACCTAAGCAAGGAAGTGAAAAACTTGCACAATGAGAATCACAACACTTGTTAAGATAAGATCAAAAAGGACAACAGAAAACAGATATCCTCGATTCCTGGGTAGGTAGAACCAATGGCTATACTTGGAAAACTGTTACATAGATTTAATCCAATCCCAATCAGAATAATAGCATTCCTCACAGATCAAGAGAAAACAATCCTAAAATTCATATGGAACCAGAAGAAACCTAGAACAGCAAAGCAATCCTAGGCAACAAGGGCAAGGCATCACAATCCCCCACTTCAAGTTATACAAAGCTACAGTGATTAAAAAAAAAAAATCCAACATGGTTATTATCCTGTGGGTCAAGGGAACAGGCCAGAGGATGCAAAAACAACTTTAGGAACACTCCACTACCTTATCTTTGAAAAAGAAGCCAAATATTTAGAAGAAAAATAGGCTCTTTAAAAAATGGTTCTGGAAAAACTGGCTACCTACCTGCCAAAGATTAAACCTGTAACTCTCACCATGAACTAAACTAAAATCAAAATGGATTTAAGATCTATATATTAAAATAGAAACACTATGGAATAAGTGCCTGCCTGGCAAGTGCAAAGTCCTGAGTTTGATCCCTGGTACAAAAAAAAAAAAAAAAGGGGGGCATAAAATAGAAACACTAAATGTACTGGAAAACAAAATAGGTAAAACTCTTGAAGATATATAACAACAAAAATCAAGAAACAACTCACATTAAACTAAAAGGCTTCTGCATAGTAAAGCAAAGCACTATAGTGTGAAAAGATAATCTATAGAATAAGAAAAATGTTGTCAGCTACTCCTCAAAGGACTCAAAAAGTTAGGGCCCCCCAAATGTAAAGATCCAATCAAAACTATGAATCTGAAATGAATAGATACTTCTCTGATGAAGAAGTACAAATGGCCAACAAATACATGAAAAAATGTTTAGTGTCATTAGCCATCTGAGCAGTACAAATTAAAACAACACTGAGATTCTATCTCAGTCCAGAAAAAAATAGCCATCATTCAAACAAGGGCTGGGGATGTAGCTCAGTGACATAACCACCTGCCTGGCAAGTGTAAGGTCCTGAGTGTGATCCCCAGTTTAAAAAAAAAAAAAAAGAAGAAGAAGGAGGAGGAGGAGGAGGAGAAGGAGAAGGAGGAGCAGGAGGAGGAGGAGGAGCAGGAGGTGAAGGAGAAAGAGGAGGAG